AAGTTAGCCAGGGGAGAAGCAAATGAAACTAGGGTTTCTGCAAGAGAGATTCATCCCTTACTTCGTCCTTCCTGTTCTTGTCTTCATTTTAATGTCCTGCAGGTCAAAAAGCAAGGCCTCTGGGGCTCCAGAAAGTCATACCTACTTTGAGCTGCAGGGCAGGGAGGAAACTCCTGTTGTTAGTATTGCATCAGTACTGCTTTACTCTGCTTTATGCTGTACATCTGATCCATAACTTTGGTATTTACTCCAGTTGCGGAACTGTTGGCAGGCCGGTGTGAGATGGCTCCAGAAAAAGGAGGACTGCTGGGATCTACACTATTGCTAAACTCAAACCAAAACAAAATGCTTATCTTCACAGCTCTTCCTATCGAGATCAGAAGTAGAAGTAATAAATAGAGTGAAGGAAGCTGTTCTCAAATTATTTGGGATGTTAAGTGGAATGGGAAAGTGCTTAGAATTATTTCTCAAATGGTCTCTGTAAACATTCCTTGAATAGCTTTCCTGTGTCTAGGGCTGGGTGTGTGTTTAAGAAGACAGGGCTCTTTCTAGAAAATTAGATTTTGTCTTCCCTTTGGTTTGTTAGAAATCTCATAGAAGCTAAGGAAACAAAATTTCAGTTCCATGTTAAGGCCTCAGAAGAAGCAAGTAAGATTTCAGAGGAACGTCTGGAATTTAGCCCCAAACTTGACACCAAACTTAGAGAAGTTTGCTTATGACTCCTTGTTATGAACATATAAAACATGATGCCAGGAGCAAGCAATAGATGTTTCTTTGGCTGACTCCTGTACTGCTATAAGGCTTCAGAAAAAACGAAAGCAAATTTCAGTTAGGACTCTATTGCAATTAGTGCTTTCCTCGATGCAGCTCTCAACTGTATCAACCCAAACTAAATTCATACAGCATGTGTGTAATTTGACAGAATTTAATCAACTGAAAATTTGGGAAAAGGATGCAATTAAAAAGTGGTGGTGTTACCAGTGATGGAATGCCATGGAAGCAGTGGGTTAGCAAATCATTGAAAATGTACCAAATATTGAGTTGATAAAAAGCTTTGATAACAGTGAATCTGCTCCCAATATTTTGTTATTAAAAATAGGTATATAGGAAATGTACACAAATACCTTGTTTTCAGGTTCTTGCCTGTTGAAGAACCCCAAACAACTGGTTAGATGCTTGTTTTGAAGAAACCCTATGCATCTATTCCACTTACAAATGAAACTGCATGATGTTCAGAGGGCTGTAAAGTAGCATTACAGGACAGTGGCAGATGAGAGACCTGCAACAATTGAAAGGTTGTTAACTGTGTTTCAGAAGAGTACAGCAATGGCTATGAATTACGGCTCTGAATTAAAAACCAGATTTTCTTACAAACAATAATTCTGTTGCTAAGTCTTATTAGATTTATGGGTAAGAAAATTAAAACTGCATCCCGTGATGTAACAGAGCTTCCCTTATTTTGTGTTCTAGGTTAGCAAGGTTTAACCATTTTTCCTGAAGAGTTTCCTTCACTACATATGCTAGTAAATTTTGATCAGCATTATCATTAGTACAGTTGTATCCCAGTGCTGATACTAGCAGCCAGGAATAAGCAGGTGAAATGTTAAGGACTGCAAAGTCCGTAATCTGGTGGTTTCTGTCTTATGCCTGGCATGTTTCTGTGGACAATAACTCAAAGAATTGCAGCTACCCACAGGCAGGAAGAGCAGAACTGAGATGAAAGAAGGAAATACAGATGTACAGCAATTTCCAGAATTTTTTAGGGAGATTTTTTTGGGGGGCGAATGGAAGAGTTACATACAAATAGGCACAGAGTAGGAAATTAAGGTGCATGGAAGCAGGAAGGGGATAAACCATGCAGAGTCCAGCAGACAATAGCAGAGCTTCAGTTTGATATCAAAGATGAGAACAAGCCAGTGAAGGTATCTGAGTGTTTGGAGACTTTTGTGAATGATAAGTAGGGCAAGCTGAGTTCTAGAGATGGCATGAAATATGTCATGAGGAGAAGGTGGAACAGGCCAGGCATCAAGGTGAACAAGGATTTGGTGGGGAGGTTCTGGAGATACTGTGAGGAATAACAGACAGAACTGTGTGGTGGCATTGAAATTTAGGGGAGAATCAAAGGTCATGTACTCTTGGTACATACGCATGAGACAGGAAATATTGAATCTGCCAACAGTTAAAGACAAGAGAAAAAGAGCTGGAATTTCCTTGACACCAAGGGAGTTTCTTTCAGTCATGATACCACTAAACTTTCCAAATGGCCCTGAAAATATTTGTTGAAGCATGACTTATCTTCTTCCAAAAACATTTTTGCATTCCAAGAGATAATAATGTTAGAGTGCTCTGCACTGGTTTCCACTCTGCAACCTTTTGTAAGTGACTAATCCCTGTGGAATTTCAGGGGATCTGACCATGTAAATACCTTTACTTCCTTTTGAAAACCTGCTACCATTTGTTAATGGATATGTAGAGAACCAAATTCTTAGCTGATTTAGCTCAGATACTGCAATGTACAAAGGAAATTTACTAGGCTATCACTCAAAATGTTTGAAAAATGTCTAGGATTAGAATAAATATAAATAATATACATCTGAAGATTTTTTTACTTAACATTTAAGGTTTTGTTTTGTGGTTTTGTTTTGTTTTTTTTTTTCTTTTAATTTTTAATTAACTGTACCTCAATCGATCTTTAAATGTTAATTTAGTTAGGAGTAATGTGTATCTCAGATGTTATTTGAACATTTCCTCCAGCAAGCCATGTTATTTTAAACAATTGGTATAGTGAATCACTTGCAGAGGTCTCTGCAGAACTGAAGATTAATGCTGTTCTCTCCAGCATGAGACATTCAAATTCATCCTCTAGAAACCAACAGAGAACATTTACTACCCTTCTGGGAAAATGCAAGCAATTCCATAAAGTTAGGAGAGGTTTACATTACAGTTGTCGTACAAAAAACAGTCAAGTGAAATCATAGAAGCCAAAACAAAAACAGTTTAATATAGGTGAATGTCAATGCCAAACAAGAAAGAGGCAGTGGTTGCAGCTCATCTGGGTGACTTCAACATAGCGGAACTGCATACATACAAGGAATTTAAAATGAGGGAAGAATCTGAATGTGAACAAAACTGAAATTAAAATCAAACAGTACACTGACTAAAAGGGAGGATGGAAAACGCAAGCAGCTAGCTGGTAGCAAACATTAGCTATAGCAGATGTGATTGCTGCTAGCTCTAAATGCATATTAAATTAAAGCCAGCATCTGTTCTCACAGAGATGGCCTCAGTCATCTTAAATCAAAGGTTAGTTTGGAAATCAAAACTTTAAAAAAGGATTAACAGCAACATTTGGGAGAGGTAGAGAAACCCAATGTCTGATAACCATGAGCAAATGTTCACAGTCCTGGGTGGTCATTCTGTAGCTCTAAACGAGCAGTGTGCCATCTCATAGGAGCTGGTGAAAATCTTGCACGTAGAAGTCAACGAAACCTTTGAAGGATGTGAATGTAAGATTCAATTAAAGACTTCTTTCAAGACAATCGAAGCTGAGTAAGCAGTAAAGTAGACAAATGCTGAGAAAAGGGAAGCAAAGTCTCAAAGATTTTCAAATAATGACTAGCATTTAACTCTGAACAGCACTTTACACAAAGAGAAACAAAATGATTACAACAGCAGGCATCATAAAATACTGGGACCTAGAAAAATGAAGGTACTAAGAGTATGAGTAACTCAGTGGAAAAAAATCAATTGCACAGTTACCAAGGCTGGATGTAATTTCAGAAAACTGAAGGAAGGAACTTCCACAATGATGAAGGGATTACAAGCTGTAAAATAGGTGGTAGGAACTATCATTAGAGAAATCACAAACACAATCAGAGTGCTGAGAGCTGAGGAATAAAAACTGAAGTGGAGGAAATGTGCTTGGCTGGGACTTAAAAATGTTCCTAGCCACTGGCTGAGACTGATCAGAACTACTTAACAGCAGAAAAACATTACAGTTGAAGAGGTAAACTGACCCAAACTATCAATATTTGGTATCCTGCTCTTCACATTGCACCATCAGTTACACAGTACTGGCTATCTAAATTTATTTTAATAAATGGCATGCTGAAATAACTGTTTAAAAGACAGTCGTAGCAAACTTGGTTTAGGTCATAAATTCTGAAAAGAATTAATGTGTATATCAAAGAGTTTATTTCTTGGTTTGGGACTTGTGGTGAAACATTAAGTTAAATCTTATTTGAGCTGATTTAATCACCCTTATCTTAAGCAATAAAACTATGGGGTTTTATGGGACAGCCATCTACCTTATTTCCAGAATATTGTATAATTTAAAACAAAGATCAGTTGCTAAAGTAACAAGTCAAAAGTAAGAAGCTAGATGGCTCTGTTTAAGTGAGGATCTATAATAAATTAGGTAGTTACTTTTTACATTTTAATTTCACTGTAGTAAAGTTTAAAGTGTAACTAACACCACCACAAAACTTCAATTTGAAGTAACTATAGTTTACTGCTTAATAGTGCGGAGCAAGAAGTTAATGAGTCAATGAGATCAAAACTAAAGCAAATTCTGTGAAAATACATTTATATACGAGATCTGAGGGCTATGGGAGATTAGGAAATAGGGAACTTTTAGTAAATATTTTGGGTTTGTGACACTGACCGTGACTAGGCATTGACTCTGACGCATGTAACAAAGCCATAAAGGAGACTGTGTGTTTATGGGATTGCTGAACCTGCAGTAACAACAGAAAGCTCTTACAGGCAGATGCCTGGGGGACTGCAAGAAACCATCTTGGTTTTACATCAGTCTCACAGTGGTGGAGGGCCCACACTGTAATTAAGTACTAGTAACCGAGTACTAGTTAATAATCTTTCCCAAAACTCTGACAAAGAACCATGGATTGAATGCATGTGGAAAAATACGCTACTCTTGCTCAAAAAGCTGAGATTTCAAACCCGAGGTTTTGTGCTTAGTGAGACAAGATTTGACTCTTCACCTATCCTCTTCTTCTTGCCTGTGAAGCAGACATACTTTTCACAAAAAAAAAAATCATCCTCCTCTTTGTCTGACATACTATTTTCCAGGACACTAAGTTCAGACATGTTAAGTAGCAAGTAAGAGCTAACTTGAGTTACTGACTGGCATTTTCCTGCAGAGGTCTGCCCCTTTCCTATATTCGGATCAGTATGAGACCTAACTTGTTTGCTTCTCAGTGTAGATACTTGTTTAACATTCTGTTTACCCCTGTTCTCTTCCTTACTGACTGTGGGAAAATTACCTGTTGGAAAATTAGAGAAAACTCAGGCCTAACACAGAAGATGTAGTATTAAGGAAACTTGTTTAGGGTGAAATACAATTCCTACTTCCAGGACAGTTGGCATACATAAAATCTACTCCACCACAGTTCCCTAGGCAACCTGCCACCTTAGTACTCGTCTTTCCTGGGACACTGACAGGCTGATCAAGTAGAAAGGGTTCAAGGAAAAACCCCTTTTAATGTGACACTGATCTATCAGGCTTCCTGCTCTCCATCTAATAACAGTGCCTCTGTTCAAACAAGGTTAAGTGAATCAACAGATTCATCACTAGTTCACTTGCTGATTTTTAAGTCACGGTTTCTCTTCAAAGACTGGACTGGCGATAAAGCTGAAGGAACTGGCAGAAGATCTGAAGTACTTTCAGCTCTTTGACTTATCTTTGAAATTCTGGACCTGCTGGATTCCAGCTCCATATCTGAGCAACCTTGCTTTGGGCTTTCAAGCCAGAGAGGTTCAGGACTACTGTCAAAAGCTTCCGAGTCTCTGTCCGTACACTCAGCACTGGTGAAATCTTCTGAATAAACTGTATTCTCAGGACTAGTAACAAAGTCATCTGAGTAAATGAATTCAGAGTTGTCTCCAGCACTCCTGCTGGGACTTGGTTTATGATCACTTATAACAGACGCATTATCGTGCTCCGTTGTTTTATGATGGATTAAGTGTATTGCTTCCTCATTACTTTCCTCTGCATTAGCATCTGATGGGAAAGCTGCTGGGAGTTGGGCTTTTGCATGCTTTTCCTTGTGAGCAGATTTTAATAGAGTTTCCTCCAGTACGGGAGCTGTAGATACTTTGCATGGATGTTCCTTGCTTGCAATTTCATCATTCTTCAATGAACTTGCAGTATCTTGTTTCTGCAGGTCAGAGGACACATCTTCTGTCACAGAAATGGACTCTGGGAGACCACTGTTTTGTAATGAAGTCTGAACAGCTTTATCGAACTGATCTTTCCGCTTTGAACCGTCTCCCTTGCTACAGTGCCTGGAAGAAATCACATGCTGTTCTCCAGCACTTCTGAGCAGCTTTCTTTTAGATAAAGGGTTTCTCTCCTTCATCATCTCCATTTGCTTTTTTCTGTACTGCTCTCTCCTTTCATGAATTATCAGTTTATCAGGGTTGATTTGTTGTAGCCGTAGCCTCAGTGTATTTGTCAGCCCATACAACAATTTCTTTCTGGGAGGTCTGTTTTCCTTAGTTCCACAGTTCCTTTCAGAGCCCACCTCTACCTGGGGTACAGCTTTCGTAGATCCTCTCCCAGCCTGAGAAGATGCTGCTGAGGTGGCCTCTTGATGGCCTTGCTCGAGTTGAGGGCTGGCAGCTCCAGTGCTTCCACCAGGCTCCACAGGTGCCTCTGCAGGCTTGAGGGAAGCAGAGTGGCTGGGACTGCGAGCTTGTGAGGCCATGCCATTGCTCCCTGGGGCCCGGTAGAGCCAGGCAAGAGGGGGGTGCACAGCAGCAGGCATAGCACTGTGGGTGAACACCGACAGCTCTGCCAGCAAGGCACTGAGTACTGGCAGCTGCCCCAGGACATTGCAGAGCTGTGGAGGGCTGGTCGGGTGCAACAACGAGGGCCCAGCACTGGGACGTGGTGGGCTTTGTCCCTTGTCTTTCTCCTGTGGTCCCCAGGCCTCGACATGTTCCCATTGCCCTGCAGCCACTGCTGCTGGTGGCAGATGAGGCTTAGCAGGCTCATGGCTGTAACAGAGCACAGGAGGGCAAAAGATGTTGCCCTCCAGCTCCTCTTCCTCCTTCTCCTCCTCGCTCCCCGGCTCAGACGACGTGGCAGGCGGCGTAGCAGCGCAGGGGCTAACGGGGCTCGGTGGGGACGGATCCTCACCGG